TTGGTGTTATTTTATTCCATTCGCTATGCTCCAAAAAAAAAAGGCGTTATTACAATAGGTATGATTAATAATACATTCATTTGAAGATCAAGTTTTTATGAAATCATTCAATAGAAATCATTCAATCAAATTATTTTGTTTTTATGTGATTATTTCCATATTTCTCTACATTTTAATAGTGAACACGTTAAATTGAAATCGGGTGATGATCATATAAGCAAGTTTCGTTCAACCTTGGTAAATTAAGGCAATATACGAAGGTAAATTTTTTTTATATATCACAGGTTCTAAAATTTTATTATAATATATAGAAGATTTGAATCTATGTACCACCAAATTTTGGTAAAAATTGGCCTTAACTATAAAGTTTTATTAGCGACATATTTGTGTTTTCTATGTAAAATCCGATTAGTAAGGGAAATCATATGACAAAATGGTCTACCCTTAAGGATTATACATTGTTAGTGGGATAATCGCTTGATTAAGGGAAACGTTGCGTAACGTTACTCAATAGAGAAGTTGAGGCGGTTACGATTTTGCATGGTCTAAGGCGTCTATTGAGGTACGTTACAAGGGGTATTCAGGGCAATTTCTTAAAGTGTGTTGGGTTCAGTGGTTAAGACTTTATTAATAATTTTATTTATTTATTTGAAAATGCACAGGGTACTTATTTGAAGAAAAAGAATCAATTCGAACTTTCGGGTAGAGCTTTTACACATGCTTCCTCATTGATGTTTGAAACCTTATACTCTATTTGGCTAACTCATTTACAGCTTTCGCTTCTGCAACAAAATCAAGAAAATGAAAAGCGTCACGCCATTTTTCATATTGTCAAAAATCCCAACCTCATTACCACACAATCACACTTTATTTTCCACTGCTACACGCTTATCCAAAGGGAGTATCATTGAACAATCGTTCAATTTCGCCATCATTGTATCAATCAGATTAACCGGAATTACCCTTTTCCTTTTTTGATCAATTATTAGTTGAGGCTTGGCTGGTGATCATCGCTTCAATGAGATTTTTGCGCATTCTTTCATGTGCTATCGGCGTTCGTACTATGGTCCAATTTCGGGTCTCTTGAAACTATGAAGGTTCGGGTACCAGGTGGACTCAATTTCGCAAGTAACAACATAAAAATTCCAGTCCCGTGATTATATGCGATAAATTTCATTGGCCAAAAATAAACCGTCAACACATTTTTAATTAAAAAATTAACTTTTGACGTTATGATAAGGGTAAGCATTAGAATTGTGTTAGGAAAGTACCGCATATAGTAAAATTTTGTAAGGAATTTCTTTTATTAAGACGCAGAAGATGGTTCTATAATCTAAATTTTTAGCTATAGATGAAAAAGTTAGCAGTTTGTTTTGATCGGCTAGATCTGGTGTAACGTAAAAAAATCAAAACAATCAACAACCGATTGTTTATTTATTTAAGGAGCTGTTAATTTTTTTTAAATCAAAATACGTATTATAATGTAGGTAGAAATAATTATACTCACACAAGACCTCGTTGGTGGTATAATCGCTTAAAAACATCTGAAGAACAATTTACAGGTGTATCCACTTTTTCCAAAAAGCGGACTGCGACAGATGAAGATATGCCCAAGAAACTGGCAAAATCCGATGAGACTAATTTTTCACAGTCACATAAGGTATACATTTATTATAGATATATAAATTATTTATGCAAATTATTTTCTTTTGTTATAAATAGTAATTAATCAACCGTAATTTATTTGTAGCCAGTTGGTTTTTCTACTGGAAGCTTTATCAGAACATCCGCAGCACTGCCCACTAGCAGAGTTTCCACAACGCAATTCTTTATCGGGTTGTCCACAGCACAACCCTCCATCTTGACGAACCAACACGTAACGACGGTAAAAAATAAATAATAATGATGATGGACAAAAAAATGATACCGAAGAAGTTAGTTAGTTCTAGGTTTAGATTCTAAACTAAAGATTTATGAACTAGATTTTTATGTAACAAGTTCTAATCTATATTAAACCCGGTTTGGTTCAAATCAAAATTTAAAACTTGTTTTTTAATATTTTGCATAATATAAATAAAAGCTGCTTATATATTTTGATATTTTGAATAACTTTACTTATATGCTAGTATTGATTTACTGTCAGCACTCCCAAAACTGATAACCTGTCATGAACGATTCAAATTTGATCCACCATGTCGTGATATCTGATAACCTATCCGATAGTCAATTTATTTAAGTTTTCGATATGGTTGATTATAATCATATAAGACTCAACCAGTCAATCAATGAACGCATCTAGTTTCGCCACCAAAATCAGAAACGTAATCGCCTTTTAAATTTAATCTGCGCATAAGAATAACAGAATCACGACATCACAAGATTTTTGAAATATTTGAAGTTTTTTTATATTTATTTATACAAATTCTAAGTTAACTTACATTTACTCATCGTTACAAATTCTTAATTAAATTACATTTAATCATTGTTACAAATTCAAAGTTAAATTACATTTTATCATCGTTACAAATTCTAAGTTAAATTACTGTACATTCAATTCGAATGTAAAAATCTATTTGTAAAAGATATTTTTGTTACGTTCACCCCAAGTTTTTGGAAGCTTTTTTGCTCGTTCGAACTCTTTAATTTTATCTACCATTTTTTGAAATGATGTAAAGTTTGATTCAATACTTTGAAATTATTTTTTTGGTTTTGGAAGGTTATTAGATTTCTCAAGACAATTAAGCACCTAAAGTGTAAAATTAATACTGTAAATAGATTTATTTAAATACAGAAATATAGTAATAAAAAAATTTTATACTTTGTGAAAAAGTTTTCATTATTTTTTAAAATTTCAGATTCGGATTCGGATTCAATAGGCCTGATGTTCGAATATTTTTTCATAAAGCTTCTTTAGCAAGCATAGCGGGCTTTATTATGATTGGTTGATTTTGAAGATCATCTCATCATATTAAAGTCTTATTAAAGTAACGAT